AGGCCACAAAAAGTGAACTTGCCATTAATTCTTTATATCTTTACACAATACACATACATGTAAGAGACATAAACATTACATAAGGCAGACAAGAAAGTAACTCATAATACAATCAAAGTATAGCATGCATCATTACATTAAGCATATAAGAATTAACATTCTTCATTAACTTCATTTAGAGCACTTTCATACATTAGTCATTAAGACCTTAGAGAACTCAGAATAGCCCACTCAAAGCCAACTCGTGCAAGGCATGGATGGCATCCCACACTACCATCCATACTTCATAGAACTCTTCAAGAGACCATAATGCACATCTCACATAATGGGAATAAGAGTTAAACCAACATAGACCATGTGACCAAGACATGGAATCTGATATCATGAAGCCCCACACCGTAAAGAGGTGGTCTACTTGTCTAAGGTAAGACCAGTAACATTTAGCTTAAGTGGATCCACTAGCTAGGACTTATGTAGGCACATAGTTATGTGATAAGAAAAATGTTCATTGAAATCCTCCTAACGTAGGGAGAACTTCCATCTTACCATATCCTCTCAGTACTTAGCCTACATTCCCATAAAGTACATTATTTTACATTACATTATTGTACTTGAGAGAGCCACCAACATTAGGCCTACTGACCCAAGAGACATTACTCATGAAAGGGCCACCACCGTTAGGTCTACCGCTTCAATGTACATTATAAGGATAGCTCATTGACTTTCCAAGAAAGGACCATCAACATTAGGTCTACCACTTCAAGGTTCCTCATTTCACACAAGAAAGTGCCATCACCATTAGGTCTACCGCTTCAAGGTTTAACATCACATTAGTTTCTAGACTCACTATGAAGGGCTACCAACATTAGGTCTGCCGGTTCATGTCATAGCCTAGAGTACTTCATCGTTCATTTAGGAAAGGGCAAGCAACATTAGGTCTACTGATTCTAGGTTATCATTACAATAATTAGATTTTATGAAAGGGCTACCAACATTAGGTCTACCTATTCCATGATCATTTAGTCAATACACATCCATCATACAAGAAAAGGATGTGTTAGACTACCAATGCAAGATAAAATATTCACATTACTTTCATTCATTCAAGAAGAGGATGCATAAGAGCCTAAAAATTCACGATATACTTCATATAAAAGAAAACCCTTCACATTCTATAATCATCATTCATGACTGTTAAGTGAGAATACTATTTCAATCATAACACTATTTCATTCTAAATATGATCATAAAACTTTCATTGAGATCACACATACATACTTCACATCATAGTCATTCATAGATCCTTCATAAGCTTGACTTTCAAGGCTATGAACCAACATCAACCCATAAATCTAAGATACTACAATAGATAAGGAAATTGACATTATTCAATCATTAATCCAATATAACATAAATAAATCAACATACTTCCATGATCAATCAATTCCCAATCACAAATCACAATTTAGGAATTTGGGGGAAAACATGGGTTCAAGTAAGAAATAATCTTAATTCACCTTTAAATTCACAAATCATTCATAATCCAATGCAATAAAGCCTTTTAAAAACGTTTGGAATCGAACCCATGAATAGATTGAAAACTAGGGTTTTGGGGAAAATATTGGAGACTTGAAATCATTTCTTAAATTGGCTCCTTGAAAGAAACTAAGTCAAGGATGAAGACTACCATACCTTTTATGAAAGAATCCCACGAAAATCCCTTGAAAAACTTGAAGTCTTGACCTTGGAAGCTTGAATATTTTACCTCCAATGGAGGTTTCTAGAGAGAGAACTTTTTGAGAAGAGAGGTTTTCTAACTTTTGGGGTGTTTTGAAATAATGAATTCTAAAATAGAGTTTAATACTTTAAAAACTATTAAAATACTATAACAAACCAATAAAAACCATCTATTAACTAAACTCAACTTAAAAGGAATTTACCAAATAGCCCTCACCTTGACCGAGACATTTGACAGCAAACAGTCATGACCCACGAACCACCACCCACGGACCATGGGTGGGACCACGGGCCATTTTGGAAAACCGTGGTTTGGTTCAGCAACTCACATTTTGGGGGCTTGACCTACGGAGTCCATTTATGGGGAGTGGATGGACCTACGGGGCATAGGTCCCCATTCATAGGTCATTAAAAAAAAAATAGGTTTTTTGGTTTTCTTAGGTTCTTGGGGTTTAGGTTTAGGGTCCTCTTCAAGGACCCCTTGGGTGGTCCTTGGGGACTTATACCTTGACGTTTAGACCCTAAACCCCTCAACCATAGTTCGGGACAACATTTTACACCCTCAAACCTCACATCAACTCAACCACACACTAGTTAGGCTCTAGTTTAACCTATTCATTTTATGGGTCATTACATAAATGCTCTCAAGAATCTTCCAGACACGCCACTTCAATCAGAGAAATCTCTTAGCACTCGCAAAAATACAACTTCAAGCGTTGCCAGTTAACTTTGAATGCAGGTCCCTCTTTACCTTAGACTTCAATAGTACCATTTGTGAACACCCGTGTTACTCTAAATGGACCTGACCATTTGTATTTTAGCTTTCCCAGAAAGAGTCTGAGTCGAGAATTATATCGTAAAACCCAATGTCCTACTCAGAACTCACTCTTAAGGAATCTTGAATCATGCCTTTTCTTCATCTTTTCCTTGTAAAGAGCTGAACATTCATACGCCCTGACCCTGAATTCGTCCTACTCATTTAGCTGATCTACTCTCTCTTTTGAAGTCTTTGCCTAGTTCAGATTTAGGGCTTTCAATGCCCAAAATGCTTTGTGTTCAGATTCGACCTGTAAATGGCAAGATTTTTCGAAGACTAGCTGATACGGAGACATACCAATTGGTGTTTTGTATGCAGTGTGATATGCCCATAGAGCATCATCAACCTTTCGAGACCAATCCGTCCTATTTGCATTTACCGTCTTGGCCAAGATACTCTTGATCTCTCGATTTGACACTTTCACTTGGCCACTCGTCTGGGGATGAACAAAGTTGCCACTTTGTGTTTCACTCCATACTTTGTCAATGCGGATGCAAAATGCCTATTGCACAAATGGGATCCCCCATCACTGATAATAGCCCGAGAAGTACCAAATCTAACAAAGATGTAGTGTTTCAGGAATTGAACAACACTTTTCCCTTCATTGTTTGGAAGTGCAACAACTTCCACCCATTTAGAAACATAGTCTACTGCCATCAAAATATACTTATTACCAAACGAACTCACAAATGGACCAATGAAATCTATTCCCCAAACATCAAATAGCTCAACCTCTATAATGGGCGTAAGAGGCAACTCGTGTCTTTTGGACACTCCACCTTGTTTCTAACATTGAGTGCACTTCTTAACAAACTCATGAGAATAGTTGTAGAGCAACTGCCAGTAGTAGCCACTTTGAAGGACTTTAGCAGCTGTATGAACACCACCATGATGACCCCCAACCTATAAAGCGTGACAAGCATGGAGAATTTCGATGGCTTCCGCCTCCGGAATGCACCTCCTAATGATATGGTCTGCACAATCTTTGAATAAATATGATTCATCCCAAAAATACTTCTTAACATCAAACAAGAACCCTTTTTGTTGGTAGAAGTTCAATTCTTCCGGCATTAATCCATACACTACGTAATTAAGAAAATCAGCATACCAAGGAGATTGTTGGAGAGTTACCGTGAATACCTGTTCATCGGGAAAGACATAATTTATGTCGATCTCCAGCTCGTCATTTCTTTTTCTTCCAATCTTGATAAATGGTCAGCCACCTTATTTTCAGAACCTCTCCTATCTTTGACTTCAAATTTGAATTCTTCCACAAGTAGCACCCACCTTATCAATCTTGGCTTGGCATCCTTCTTTTCCATCAAATAATGCAGTGCAACATGATCAGGGTGAACCACCACTTTAGTGCCTAGCAAGTATGCTCGGACCTTCTCAAACGCATATACTACCGCAAGTAATTTTTGCTCTGTAATTGTATAGTTACGCTAAGCAGAATTTAGAGTTTTCATTGCGTAGTAAATGGGGTGAAATAGTTTGTTGCATTTTTGCCCCAATACAGCACCTAATGCAGTGCCGCTTGCATCACGCATCACTTCGAAGGGTTATGACAAATCGGGACTAATGATAACCGGGCTTGAGACCAATTTTTTCTTTCAAGCACTTGAAGGCTACCATGCAAGTATCATCAAAGTGGAATTTCACCTCATTCTCCAAGAGTTTGCTTAGAGGATGTGCAATTTTTGAGAAGTCTTTAATGAACCTCCGGTAAAAACCGGCATGTCCCATGAAACTCCGAATAACCTTCTCTGAAACTGGTGTTGGTAACTTCTCAATCATTTCAATCTTTGCTTTATCAACCTCCAGCCCTTTTTGCGACACTTTGTGACCAATAACTATACCTTTCTTAACCATGAAGTGGCATTTTTTCCCAATGTAGGACCAAATTTGTCTCCACACATATTTGGAGAACTTGTCCTAAGTGTGCTAAACATGTTTCAAAAGTGTCACCCACAACCGAGAAGTCATCCATGAAGACCTCTATTGAATCCTCCACCATATCAACAAAAATAGATAACATGCAATGGTGAAATGTTGTCGGAGCATTACAGAACCCAAACGACATCCGTTTGAAGGCAAAAGTTCCATATGGGCAAGTGAAGGTGGTTTTCTCTTGGTCTTCCAAAGCAATGGAGATTTGGTAATAATCGGAATACCCATCCAAAAAGCAATACCAACCTCTCTCTGAAAGTCAACCAAGTATTTGATACATGAAAGGCATAGGAAAGTGATCTTTTTCGATCCATGAGTGTAACATCCGATAATCAATACATACTCACCATCTAGTCACCGGTCTTATAGATACAAGCTCACCCTTTTCATTTGTGATTATTCTGATGCCTCCCTTTTTTGGTGCACATTGCACCGGACTTACCCATTTGCTATCCGCAATAGGGTAGATCACACCTGCGTCTAACAACTTTATTATCTACTTTTTCACCATCTCTTGCATCGATGGGTTCAATCTCCGTTGATGTTCAACACTTGGTTTATCCTCACTATCAGGCTGAATTTTGTTTGTGCAAATACCGAGAGGAATTCCCACTAAGCCGGCGATAGTCCAACCTATAGCTTTGATATGCTTTCTCAATACCTCGTGGAGCAATTTTACCTGCCATTCAAGCAAGTCATCTGCAATCATCACCGGTAAGGTGTTGTTTGCCCCCAAGAAAGCATATCGGAGATGGGAGGGAAGTACTTTCAACTCCAGATTTGATGGTTCTTCTGTTGATGGCTTTGTGGGAGGATTTTCTTGATTTTTTAGATCAATGTCCAATTTCAATGTGTTCTTTGAATACACCCCCCCCCCATGCTTGAAAGAGCAGCTACTACCTCTTTGCAGCCTTGAATTTCGAATTCATCATAGGTAGCAAGCACGGCCTCAAGTGGTTCACTCATACACATCAAATGGCTCACACTAGCGACCACCTCATCAATAACATCAACACTGGAGACCACGTGACTATCGCTTGGGTGTTTCATTGACTTACAAACATTAAAGGTTAATTCATCTTCGTTTACCCGAAACTTCAGTTCTTCACTTTCAACATCCACTAACGCTCTCCCGGTTGCCAAGAATGGTCTTCCCAAAATGATGGGAATTTCAGCATCTATTTTACAATCGAGAATGACAAAATCAGTCGTAAAAATGAATCGGTCAACCTTTACCAAGATGTCATATAGTATCCCCACAGGGTGTTTAATTGATTGGTCTGCCATCAAGAGTCTCATTGTTATGGCTTTCGGCTCACCCAAACCTAGTTGTTTATAGATTACATATGGCATTAGGTTGATGCTTGCTCCCAAATCGCATAGGGCTTTAACAAATTGGAGAATGCCGATGGTATAAGGGATGGTAAATGCTTCGGGATCTTCTCTATTTTTGATCAGTTCCTTAATCATAATTGTACTACAAATTTGAGAAACTTCGATTGTCTCAAAATCCAAGATCCTTTTCATTTTGACCAACTCCTTCTTAAACTTGGCATAACCCAACATTTCAAACAATGCTTCTACTAGAGGGAGATTAATCAATAATGTCTTGAACACCGATAAAAACTTCTTGAACTTCTCATCCTCATTCTTCTTCTGGAGGCTTTGGGGAAATTGAGGAGATATTTTGGTTAAAGGTTGCATAACTTTTGGGATTGGATTGTGTTTGTCCACATAATTTTGTGGTCCTTTGGCAATGCTTTGATGTATGGGTATTTCTTCTTCCTCCCTACCTTTGTCTTCTTCATGTATTTGAGCTTCTTCGTTGCCTGTCACATTGCCTATCGCAACCTTCCCACTACGGGTAACCGTAGCCAGCCCTCTGTCATCATATTCCTTTGTCATTTTTGGTTTTAATTGTGCTGAAAGTAAACTCAACTGACCTTCAAGTATCTTGATTGCAGCTGCATGAGAGTTCACTTTATTGTTCAATGACGAGAAATCAGCTTTCATCCCTTTTAACAAATTATCTGACCCTTCAACTTTGTCAAGGATGCGTGACAACAAATCATTCACCCGGGGACTACCTGCACTCCCTTTCGACTTTGGGCTCTCACTCGATTGAGTGTGGTTCTCTTCATGGTCATCCTCCTTTTCCAATAATCACTTTGCTCAGCCCATTCTTGATAGTATCTTCTTTGTTCTTCCTCCTTGTGAAAGTTCCAACCTTGATTCCCACCTCGCTGTAAATAGCGTGGGTGGAAACCCTCCTCGTATATTTTGGAATTCCAACCTTGATTCTCCCCCGACTTTGAATAACCTGAGGAAGAACCCTCCTTAACTCTAAACACTCCACCTGCTCCCTTGGACTTTCCTACATTCTCCAACACATTCTCTTGTAGTAGCTCCATTTGGGTCAACATCTTCTTGATGTTCTCATCCCTTTCTCTTTCCTTATCAAGTTGTTCTTGTGTCATTCTAAAACAAAAAGGAGAGACTTGATCCTCTTGAGTGTACCAAACTTGATTTATTTTTGTCATATCATCAAGAAGAAATGAAGCCACCTCAAATGATTGTAGAATTATTCCCCCTCGAATCAATTGATCAGACATTCCTTTATTAACTGAATAAGACTCTGGTAAAAATATTGGAGTAGCAAATCGTTTGGTAGCCCGTGAGTTGGACATTGAAGTAAGAACTTCTTAAACCTCACCCACGTTTCATGGATGAGTTCACCCTCCAATCGCTTAAAACCTTGAATGTTATCCTTGAGTTTCATCATCTACGACGGAGGGAAGAATCTTGCATTAAATGTTGTGATAAGCTCATCCCACAACGTGATGGAATTCTTTGGTAACTCGACAAACCACATGCTAGCCTCCCCCATCATAGATAGTGGAAATAATCTGAGCCGGATTAACTCTTGTGGCACATCCTTGAATGAAAACGGGCTGCACACATCTTTAAAAATTTTCACATGATCATGTGGATCTTCATGTGCCAGCCCACCATAAAGTCCCTTCATTTGGAGGAGATGAAGAGTTGTGCTCATAACATCAAATGTTGCATTCTCATCAATTGGGGGTAAGCAAATTGCACCCATTTCACTCGATTGGATTGGGTTGTATGCATTGTTAATATCATTGATACCATCTCGTGGGCCTGATAGGCTACCATTCACCTCTTTTTCACTCATTTTTACTTCTATTCAGTCCAACCAACACTACACAATGCAGTCTAAATCGATTCAACTACAACCGACAAATTCACAAGTCAAATCTTCGATAAAAAAACTCTAAATAATGCTACTCCCTGGCAGCAGCGCTATTTTGATTAACGTTTCAAAGACACTTCATCCAATTTTAAGTGTCAATGATCATTAGTCAGTATCTAACCCAACCAACTGAGTTGGGGTCGATCCCACAGAGAGTAGGTTTTTTTTGACTTCAAATACTAAAGAATCACGGTGAACCTTTGTAGTTGAGCAACACAACACTTAAGAGTTTAATAGTGAAACTCCAGGATGTTGTCACCAACCCACGTCAACAATTAATCAAGGAACAATCAGATATCTAGGAAACACTTGGGGAATTGACTAACCAACTACCAAACTTAACTTAATGGGTGTACATCATTACCGACAGTGTCAATTCATCGAGGGTAGAATGGACTATATGTAAGGTAATTTTCTCTCTAACAATCACCTTATATCCGTTGAGTTCTCTCGAACCCCAACACTATCCATGAGATGACCAGTCCAATTTCTCATCAAATCTACTCTTTCAATCTAGTTACAAAGGCTGAATCTTGGGTTTCACTTTCTCAAGCTGAAACCGTCAAGACCCACTACTAAGGACGCCAAATTACTTTGTTGGCTCTGAACTTCTCTCTCGAGCAAGCACAAAACTCTGAATTATATTACACTCAATAAGAAATAATGAAGTTAAACCACAGTAATATTTCAGACCCACTTCCAATTGACAACAAAAATCACTAATCAATAACATCGATTTAGTCAAATGCAACAATTCGTCACATTGTCAAACCCCCAAGGTTAGGGTTTTAGTCAATCATAGTAAAAAGATGAAAGTCAATACCTGCCACATTTTTCCATAGCTGGATAAATGAAATTCGAAAGCTAAAATTAACTAGAATCTTCTCTATTACAAAACCCAAAATGAAAACCTTGACAAAATCAATTTAAATCAACAATGGCAATGTTGTTTTCTGAATGCTTTCTCTCTCTTGCAAAAATCAATTTATACAAGTCTGGTGTGTGGCTTTTTTGGATCCAATCAGTGAAGATAGTCGGGCTTCGCCGACTATTCGGCGACTCACCAATCGACATTCGTCTCGCCCCTCATTCTTCTCATCTTCTTAGTCCAACAACTATAATTTTAGGCAAGCCAGATCGGGATCGTCATTTCATTCTGCGATGTGCCTTTTTGCCTTTTTACTCGCCCATCAACATTGATCTGGATCTCCATCAATACTTTTAGCTATGATGTCATCCTTCTCCGATGTGATCGGTGACACAACGAATAGGACTACTTCTCGCCAAAGTTACTCCTAATCCAACCTCAGAGCACTGTAAATTTAGGAGATAGGGGAGCAACTTGGCGATTCGCCGAGTTATCTCGGTGACCGTCAGACTTGTTTTTCCTTTTCTCTTTTTCAACTTGTGTTGTCTTTGTTGACCATTTCTATCCTAGCTTCATTCCTCAACCTATATATCTGAAAATTAGGGATTTTACATTAGTTATTAACACGAAATAAGCATTTGAGGACACTAAATCATTGTAGATAAAGCCTTAAATGAGTCCAAATCTCAGACTCATCAGGGATGTTGATTCTGAAGTCCCTAGTCTTGAGTGGGTCCCCATTGTTAATGTAACACCCCTAAATGCTTAAACAAATAGTCGCATGTCGTTACATCATCTCGTAATTACTAGAATATGTTTTATTCTCATTTTTTGGAACTTGAAATGTTGTGATTTGCAAAACTTGCTTAGCATAAATTGTTATCGTAAATTAAGGTATTGTACCGGGGGTATTTGCGTAATTATCTAATTATACTTACTTATACATTGGAAGTGTGGGTATAAAGTACATAAATATAGTTATATATGTATGCTTTTGGGCAGCCATCTATTTGTTTGGGCAGCCCCTTTTGGTGACATCTGCCCATGTGACAAGGATAACTTTTGTAGCTCTATATCTTTACATCTCCTTTGATTTAATTCATTTTCCCTCAAGTATAAGAACATTATAACATTAGCTAAACAGTTGTTCTTTAACATCAAGAGAAAAACTAAGTCCTTTTGGCTGGAATCCGACACACACACTTCCTTTTGGTAAGTGACGAAATCTGCTTTGGTATTTTATGCATATCTCATTCAAAAGAACTTAGTTTACAGTGAATAAATATGTTTTGGAAAGCTAATTCGTAGACCTACAACTCTTGTGGTTATGTAAAAATCTAATTTAGCTGTTATAGATACGAAATAAGGGACGCAACATATGACAAGTTCTGTCCAGATTCTAGAATTAGAAATCCTGTACGTTCAACTGTTACTGTTTTGATTATATCTTTTTGTACAAAGCATATTTTGCGGTGATTCTTGATTATTTGCAAGCTTAAGAGATGTACCTACATCTTTTATGAAGGATATAAATTCCATTTTGGCCTTTTTCTGTTTCAAATCTAAGTTGCGACATGAAGTGTGTTTATTGGGCAAAATATCTATTTTGGGAGTATAGTCGTAATTGTACAGGCTAGGCTTACTTATGATGATAACCCTGTGTTACACCGTCATTATTGATCTACTAGAAAGTAAATAAGTTATTGAATTCATTTTTTAAGGTTGTATATCTTCGTGTACGAGTTGAAGATTTTGATACGCTGGTTGGTCTACGATTTGAACTCGTGAAGTCATGTTGGAT